AGTCAACAGTGTGCCCTTGTAGCCAAGAAGGCTAATGGCATATTAGGTTGCATTAAGAGAAGCATTGCCAGCAGATCCAGAGATGTCATTATTCCCCTTTATTCGGCTTTGGTGAGGCCACATCTGGAGTATTCTGTCCAGTTCTGGGCTCCCAATTACAGAAAGGATGTGGACACATTGGAGGGTGACCAAAATGATGAGGGGTCTGGACCTATGAGAAGAGGCTGAGGGAGCTGGGTCTGTTTAGTCTGCAGAAGAGAAGAGTGAGGGGGGATTTGATAGCAGCCTTCAGCTCCCTGAAGGGGGGTTCCAAAGAGGATGGAGAGAGGCTGTTCTCAATAGTGACAGATGGCAGAACAAAGAGCAATGGTTTCAAGTTACAGTGGGAGAGGATGGATATTAGGAAAAACTATTTCCCTAGGAGGGTGGTAAAGCACTGGAATGGGTTACCTAGGGAAGTAGTGGAGTCTCCATCCCTAGAGGTGTTTAAGTCTCGGCTTGACAAAGCGCTGGCTGGGTTGATTTAGATGGGATTGGTCCTGCCTAGAGCAGGGGGCTGGACTTGATGACCTTCTGAGGTCTCTTCCAGCTCTATGGTTCTATGAATCTATGAAAACTTATTCCTATGAGTTTACAATAACAGAAGTTAAGTCTGCTCCCTTGTAACACCCTTCTCCTGTTCTTCACTTCCAGCGGCACATTGTGCAGAGAAAGGTAAGGCCACTTCATTGCACTGGGGAGTGGAGGGGAACTCTAAGACTGCAAGTTGCAGGCCCCTCAGGCGTGGGTACTGAGAGGTCTCACTGTGAGCCACTTTGTTCTGTGCCATGTACTCAGCCCCTTGTCCCTCAGGCTCAGGACACGGGATGATCCAGACCCCACACACTGAACTCGGAGCTTTATTGCTCTCCGTGCAGCCTGGGAGTGCTCAGGTTTGGGCTCACTCCGGTCTCAGTGTATTCAGCCACTGTGCCCATGCTGTGAGCAGGGCCATCCCTACCAACATACAAAACGTGTAGCTTGGGGCACCATTTTCCCGCAAGTTTCCTGATGCCTGAGCAGCTGTGTGCTAAGTATAGGTTCCTGCAGCCTCCTCCCCACATTCACTTAGCATCTAGGCTCCCACAGCTCCGAGCCCCCTGCAGGTGTAGTAGGTCAGGGCAGCGATGCAGTACATTCAAGATTCATTGATGTGACATCCTGACAGGTCTCCTGCTCCATCAGTGATGATAAATGTTTGGCTGCGTGCGTTTCCCCTCAGAATATCATGCCAGCTCTGTGCAGATAGCTAGCATAATACAATTCATGAGAGCCCTGAAAGACCACAGACTCAGATAAGATGTGAAGGCACCTGAGTCAAGTTTATTGTTGAACAAAGTACATTAATAGTCATTGGTAGCTAGACAGCCCCCGAGCCTCTATGCATTTGTACCCATGACAATGGACTGGCTCAGTCAATAGCATGAATTTGTTATTGCCCTTTAGGCTGGACTAGGGATGTAATAAGTTGGTTAATTGACTATACTATTACATCCCTAGTCTGATTAACTGAGGCTGTAGCTCAGGGATGGCAGGCTGCTGGTCTGCGAGAGGAGCTGGTTTTTAAATTGGACCAGCTCCCGCCTTGCATCCTGTACTGCTGCCTCTGATAGAGATGCAGTAGGACAGGATGGCAAGGGGCTCCCCAGAAGTGGGGCCAGAGCACACTGTGTGGCTGCCAGCCCTGCCCCGAGGGACTATAGAATAAGTCAACTAACCGATAAGAATTCATGAGGTTAATTGACTATTCAGTTAACCGATATTTAACATCCGTAGACCAGACAGGGAGTTAAGTCAAACTATCCTTATATTTCAAGATGAAGACAAATAATCTATGATACATACCTTTATGTATCATCTTACACATTAACAAGAAGTTTGGTACCTCTTCTTGTGCTTACCTCCAAAGAATTCCTGTTCACCACCCGTTGTTATCCAGCGACCCATGTATATAAAGCAGATATCCACGTATTTGCAGGGCTCACTCACCATACATTTCACCCAATGTACAGTGTTTGCTCCTTTTTTTTCTGGCTTCATGGGGTTAATATTTTCCCTTTGCTGTTTGACTCTCAACCTTTGGCATCTCGCCAGGTAGAGTTACTGTGTTTTTTCCTTAACTGATTCCTTTGCTCAGGAGGTGCCAGTATTTTCTTGCTGCATTAACCTCTTGGCTGAGTCTAAGGGTTGTAACTTCCCTGCTTTGAGGCCTTTTTAACTCACTTCCCTTCTGCGGGATAATGTGACACTGATTCATTTCTCTGTGCTTTATTTTCAGACAAACTCCAGACTGAACTCAGTAAGTTCCATTTCCCCCTCCCCTCTGTACACCGCTTGTGTGATGCTGTCTGTGTGCTCAGGGTGTCTCACAAGTGTCTGTGTTTGATTGCAGGGTGGAGATGCGCTCAGCTTTATGCAGGTACTGTACATATGCTGGTGTTTTATCCCTGGTGAGACACACTTCCCCTGACACAACGCTGAATGGGGATTCGGGTTAATTTCCCTTTGATTCCCAGTGATTTTTCCCCTGGTCCTGACTCTGTGACTCTCTCCCCAGTGGATGTGACTCTGGATCCAGACACGGCTCATCCCCGGCTTGTCCTGTCTGAGGATCGGAAACATGTGAGTTATGGAGACATGCGCCAAGATCTGCCCGACATCCCTGAGAGATTTGACCCAGTGCCCATTGTCTTAGGAGTTGACAGGTTCACGGATGGGAGGTATTACTGGGAGGTGGAGGTGGGAGACAAGACAAGATGGACGCTGGGGGTTTGTAAGGAGTCTGTGAGCAGGAAGGAATGGCTCACCCCCTCACCCGAGAATGGACACTGGACTGTGTGGCTGAGACATGGAGAATACGAGGCCTGCACCTGCCCTCTGAAGCACCTCACCGTGAGCACCAGGCCCAGCCGAGTGGGGGTTTTCCTGGACTACGAGGCGGGCAAGGTCTCATTTTACAATGTGACTGACAGGTCTCATCTCTTCACCTTCACTGGTACCTTCTCGGAGACACTGCGCCCTTGTTTCTATCCTGGTGTCACAGCTGAGGGTACAAACGCAGCTCCACTGACAATCTGCCCAGTTCCAATGCAGGCTGGTGTGTGAGGCAGAAGCCAAGAGAAGCAGGCGTGAGTGTGAGCCTGGCAGAACAAAGATATAGATACATCTAATTCATTTCTGCATTAATCATTTTCTCACTGAAATGTTATTTTAGCTTTGTATTAAGTCTTTTTACATAGAAACTTTGCATCTTGTATACTTTGTACCCCCTTTGCTTAATGGATTGCCCTGTTGAGTGAATGAGATGTGAATGGATAAAGGGTAGAATACAAGTACCTCAAGGCAGTTGCAATGGTTGGAGAGGGGATGAAAGCCAGATCCAAGAACAATAAGAACAATGGGGCCTCTGAAGTGGGCCCACTGAAAGAAGACTGGACCTATGGAGGCCTTAGGAGTCAGCAGCAAGTGCCTGCTTTGGGAAGCCCCCTCTTTGAAGGTGAACAGGGCAGTGTTCAGACACTTTTCCCCACGCCCTGCCCCAGAAGAAGGGGCCACAGATGTCTAACTGCATATGCAGAAAATGACTCTCACAGATGATGCATATGCATGGACTGACTAACTGGTGGAGATCTGCAGGAGAAGGAAGATACTTTACATTTATAGTATCTTGCAGAGAGATCCAAGGTTTTCGTCTTGTCAACATGGGAGCATCGATCCGGACTGGCAAAAGCCCAGCTCCACCTCTCCCCCACCTAACTCACCAGACGCATGTGTGCGTGCGTGCATGTGTGAGATATAAGTGTTTGGTTGATATGTATGTGTTAGCAATAAATGTGGCGTTTTGCCTTTCCCCCCTGAAAAGATTCCTTGCAATACTTTTAAGTACAACATTTTGGTGGAGAATTGCGAAAGGGGGAACAGTACTACAAGCATTTACTAGGTAATGAGATAAACATTGAGAAGTATTGAAAAGTGATCAGTCATTCAGGTCTTCACACCCTTGCTGGTACAAGGCCAGGTAAAGAGAGGAGAATTAGATTCTTTACTCCCCCATTCATGGAGTTGTTGGCATTAGAAAGAAGGGAGGAGAATTAGATTTCTTGTTCCAGGAAAAGTGGAATTGTCTTAAAAGTATACACACCACCAGTCATACCATGATCAATAAAGGAAAGGGATTTAGTATTCCATTCCAATCTGACCCAGCAGATTGGGGAATAGTTTAAAAGGTGTTTACACTTTCAGTGGTAGTAGGGCTGATTCCAAAAACAAACAAAGCTTAGTCTCTGTTCTATCCTGTGGTGAGTCCTAAGAGTGCAAGATAAAACAGTAAAGAGGATAAGAATTGCTGTCTAATCTCAAAAGAGGATTGGGTATTTACTAGAAAAATGTTTAAACGTAAACATTCTCTTAAAAAGCCTTACACTGAAGAGACGGAGAAATTGGCATTTGTAAAAGATATTACCCCTTATGAACAAATCTTACAAACGTTCAGAGACAGCCCTTGGTCTGATCAAGCAGGAGTGATGTCCATACAATTTCAGACCTAGAAGACAAATTGGCTAAATACTTATGGACAGGACTTGACAAACCGCGGTGAGAGCTACTCACCAGCCCCGCACTGCGCATGCACGCAACGCTGGTAAATGGGGTGCATGGAGTGACCGGCTGAAATCTACTCGCCATGGGTGAGTAGAATCAGCAGTTTGTTGAGCCCTGCTTATGGATATATAAGCCCTCAACTCCAGTAGGAAAAAAAGCAGCTACAGTTTGGCTCTTATGAAAAACCTGTAATGAGGTATTCCTTCAATTGTCTGAATGTTAAAATGAAAACAGGAAAACATATTTAGAGTCCCCGGTTATCTGGGACATACATGAATATTAAAGGGGATATAGTAGACCACCAAGGAGTGGTTCCCACAACAATGGGTGTACCTCAAACTCCCTGTCTTGTAGGAACCATGCTCCCTCCAAAGAAGAGAATTAGCTACATGTTTCTGGGATGAAATGGATAATTTCACCACCAAAGTGTATTTTAAGGGAAGGAATTGTGTTTTGTATTGTGGGTTTGGAACCTGTAATATGGCAAAACAAATTTTATTCCGAATCTCCAGTTGAAAAACGCATGTATGATATCTCCAGGCTCCATGCCTCTAAACTGGTTTACTGCTTCTCAATGCACAAAGGAATCTATATGGAAACCTCGGATCTGGTGGACTTGGATCCTTATTTCTCCCTGGGCATTAATTGGGCAGGCCTATATGTGTGGATTTATAATAATAAACAATGAGTGAATTAACAAAAGCAACTCAAAAGGAAATCTAAACTAGAAGTTTTGCCATCCTCCATCATGGGGTGGTTTGCTCTCAACTCTGCTGAGGCAGAGGGTGGATGAGTGGCAGCGAGGAGCTGGGGCTTGCCTCTTCCAATGGTTCATTCATCCACTGCCCATGTTGTGAATTAAAGAGCACTGGGCTGGCAAGGGTTAGATTTTTATCAATAACTGATGAGAAATACTGGTTTCACTGCATACATGCAAACTACTCAAACATTATTTCTATCAACTATCATCACACTGCAGAGAGAGGCACAACCTGAACTGTGTTGATGAGAACTTATTGTTTGATATAAGGAGAGTTACTGTGTATATTTTGGCATGTGATGGTCACTGTCGGGGTTTTAATGGCTGCAGAGTTTAAACTTTTTTAACTTGTCTCCTGTTATTAAATAACTAGCCAATTAGCCTGTCATAAAATGGGATTTTCAGGTCTCTCCTCCACGTCGGTCTTCTCTCCTGAGCCTCCGGTCTCTCGCTCTCTCTCTCTCCTGCTACTGCCTCCCCTTCTCTCTCTCTCTCTCTCTCTCTCTCTCAGCTCTTCTCTGCCTCCTGCCTCTTTCTCTGTCTCTCTCTTTCTCTTCTCCTACCACTCCTGCCTCTCACTCGGGGGCCGAT